GGCTGTACAACCCTGTCAAAGCAATGAATGCCGCTGTGCTGTGCACATCACTATGTTATATATATATTTTACTACGATAAAAAATGAGATATTTCTAAACTATCTTTGAATTCTGATGTTCTAGAACACCACAGCCGAAGGGCTCATGAAAGAAGAGGGAGCCTATGTGGGTCACAAAGGACGTGTTGGAATGAGTCCCCTCCACCCCGCGAGGACCGTGAAGCCCAAGCACGGCAAGTGGGAGACTGCGGGCCAAGCCCAGTCGGAGAGGTGTTTTCTTTGGCTTTTGCAGTTTACCAATACAACACTTAAGGTTTTAAATAATTAGTCGCTAAAATGTAAAACCTGGGGTTACTGCAATGAAAAATTCTCATGTCTGATTCCTCTTGAAATGTCAACAGATGCAGTAACGTCCGGTCCACCGCCCCAGCTAGCTGGGGACCACGCACACTCCAAACATCCCTCGGTCTGACCTTTTCCCAGGTGGCCTCATCGATGTTTCCTGCTTGGTCACTTGCCTGTCCTATGGCATTTGAATTCGGGGCCCCTCTCATCAATTAATGCTCGGTGAAGGGTTTCCGAGAGCCCTACACTTGGCTTGCCAATGTTTTAAAAGCGAAGTCTCAGAGAAATTTCTTTTTCTTAATTTAGTTCCTTTCACCTCATCTACCACACGGAAGGACAGTTCTGGGCGACCACAAGGGGTTTTAGTTTTCTGTAACTGACACAAATACATTTGAGTGATCGTGTGAGCCTAAAGTTCTACAGACTCTTAAAATAAAGAGATTATTCGTGCATGAAGTCTCTGAAGTGTGATCACTGCTTCATTTAAGATTCAAACATTTTATAACAATCTTTAAAAGCCTCCTCTACTTTTACTGGGTTTATTTTCTATTCCAAAAGGAGTCATAGGTATCACATCAAAGTTGAAACACAATTTAAACAATACACATAAGTCTGTAAAAGTCTTTCCTGTTTGACCTCCTGAGGGGTAACCACAGGTGTTAGGTGTTTTTCTTTTTGGACTTCAATTTGTATTTGTATGTTTGTTTTTGCACACACAGGTATGCAGGGATTTGTATGTGCAATTATATGAATGCAGAAACATGGAACATATGTCATTTTTCCATAAGAAAAGAATTACACTGCAGTTACTGTTTCACAACTTGCTTTTTTAACTGGACAATATATTGTGATGTTTCCATAGCTACACAGAGAGATATGCTTCCTTCTTTGTGATGACCATGTGGCTTCAGAGCATGGGTGTAGTTTATTTAAAATTAATTATTTTGACAGATACCTAGGTTATCTCTGATTTCTCTGAACTTAAATTTATGGCACTGTGAGCATCCTCAGTCAGGATCCTGGCAATATGGAAAAAGTGATTTTGAAGAGTGTATTCTTAGCAATAAGAGTATTCAGCCAGGGCATATGTGTTTTAAAAATTCTGATCAGGATTGTGACGTGCACTTTAAAATCTACATTCTCACTCTTGCTGACACTGAACTTTACCTCTTCATCTTCTGCCAAAGTGATAGGCAAGTGATGGAGTCTTGTTTTGTTCATTTGCATTTGCCTTTTTATTATCTGAGACGGCACTACTTTGGTAATTTTATTAGGCATTTGTATTTCACTTTCTGGGAACTACCTGTTTACATCCTTAGTTGCTTAACTTGTATTGGAGTTATGTACATGGAAATATATCTCTAGATCTACATACTAAGAGAGGTTTCAAAACCCAGCTCCTGGCTCGGGAGAATGTGTGCGCTCGCTCCCGGACACTGCACCCGCTTCCTCTTGCTGGGGCTTGTAGATGTCTGACTCACTGGTAGGACAAGTAACTTCTGTTCTTTTCCCAGAACACCAGAACAGCTAGCTTGGTGTGGTGTGTAATTTAAAAAGAAAGAAATGAAATTTCAAAGGTCTCTCGCTGGCCTTTAGAAGATCATAATCGAATCCTACAAAATGCACATGGGAGCACGTACAACAAAAATACTACAAATCACTTGTCTTTGATCAGTGCTTTGCAGTCTATGTTCTTTTGATAAATAAGACATACAATAAATAATGAAAAATTAGGTAGAAAAGATAAGCACCACAACATCATTAACAGGGGCTTGGGGGAAAGAGAATTAAGTTGGTGGTGTGGGGACTGATATTGCGGAACAGGAGAGAATTCCGAGGACGACAATGCAGAGGTGGAAGGCAGAATGGGAAGGACTTTTGCGGGTGGATGAGGCAGAACAAAAGGGTGAGGGTCTATCTGGGACAGAAAGAGATTTCCCTATGAATTGAGCATCGCATTTGGAATGTCTGGGAAGTGGCCACAGCAGTGAAGAATCCTCTATCAACTTTCCTTCCTTTGAGCCCTATATTCCTGTTAACTCAATCCTGAGGTTATATTATAATTTTTTTAAAGCTGGATTAGCAATACTATATTGGTCAAAATAGGCTTTAAAGCAAAGACTTGACAAGAGACAATGAAAGTCACTACATGATGATAAAGGGAACAACCCAACAAGAGGATGTAACAATGGTAAATATCTATGCACCCTACATGAAATCATCTAAATACATAAAGCAAATATTAACAAACATAAAGGAAGAAACTGACAGTAATACAATAATAGTAGGAGACTTTCATGCCTTATTTACATCAATAGATACGTCATCCAGACAGAAAATTGGCAAGGAAATAGTGGCTTTGAATGACACACTGGACCAGATGGACCTAACATATATTCAGAACATTCCTATCCCCAAACAATGGAATACACGTTTTCTTCAAATGCACACGGGACATTCTCCAGAAGAGATTGCATTTTAGGCTATAAACCAAGTCTCAATAATTCAAAAAGACTGAAGTCAGACCACGCACCTTTTCTGACCACAACGCTATGAAATCTGAAGTCAACCACGAGAAAAATCTGGAAATCCACAAATACATGCAGAGTAAACAGCACACTACTAAAGAATGAATGGGTCAACCAAGAAATCAAAGAAGAAATTAAAAAATACATGTGAACAAATGAAAATGAAAACACAATAGTCCAAAATCTCTGCAATGCAGCAAAAGTGGTTCTAGGAGGGAAGTTTATAATGATACAGGACGGCCTCAAAAAATAAGAAAAATCTCAAGTAAACAACACAATCTTACACTTAAAGGAGCTAGAAAGAGAGAACCAAACACAGCTCCAGGCCAGTAGAAGAAAAGAGAGACAGAACAAAGGGGAAAAGAAAGATCCCTCCCCTGTGAAGTAAGCATGGACGGCATGTGGAATATTTGGAAGTGACTGTCACAGAGAAGAATGCCCTATTAACTTTCTCCCTTTGAGCACCGTACTCCTGTTAACTCAATCTCAAGTTTTATCATAATTTTTATCAGCCACATCTTTTTACTGATTTATATTGAGTTTGAGATGAACAGACCTCTTCTGGTGTTTGCAGGTGGACTTGTCTGTGACCGCCAGAGGAAGATGCCACGTCTGAACCATCCTGGCTGGACACAGTCTCAGCCACAGCAACATCCATGAACTCACTGATGCCTTCGTTCGTCTGTTACAACATTCCAAAGACAGGTAATGCCCACCCACTCTGCATTAGGATGGTGCCCGGTGCTGGGGACACAGAGGTGAGAACGTCAAGTTCCCTTCCTTGTGGAACGTGGGGTCCCCCGCGGGCTGGGGTAAGGGAAGACGTAAGTGCTCAGGTAGCTATGACACACAAGTCACCTGGTCTCAGAGGCAACATGTCAGAATCAAAGTTGCTTGAGAGCCTCTGGGTCTTCTTCACTCTTGTCAACGAGTGCTGGCCTTGCTGGGCTCCTGGAACTCAGGGGCTGGTGAGGTGAGCCCCCGAGGAGGCTATGACTCACGGCCTCATTCAGGGTGGCCTTGGTGTTAATTTATACTGTAGTTTGTTCTGTCTGTTCACAGGTGAGTAGGCTTCCGTGGAAGAAGGAAGTTTTACTGAGGCTTAAAATGTTGTTTCTTACTAACCAGATGGCTTACGTGACCCTCTAGCATATTAGAAAGGTGCTCTGCCTCTAAGGACAGTGGCATTATAATCTAACAGAGTTAGACACTGGTTACTTCTCCGAAGGTACTTTTGTTCAAATTGCCTTGTTTTGTATGGTCTTGTTTTGTTGCTTGTTGTAAACCATATATGTAATGGTAACAAAGTATCTAATAAACATTTTAACTTGCTGGGTTTCTATGTTAAGAAAATAACTTGTATTTTCCCCATATCAAATAAAGCAGATACTGTATTTATAAAACACCAATGAAAAAATTCTGATGTGAGGATTAAGACAGGCGTAATGAACGACACTGTCATTAAGTGTCAGAGGAGATGGCCTTCTGGCCTCATTTCTGCCACTTCTAATTGTGGAACCAAAGCCACAGACATACAACCCTAGTTTCCTCTTTGGTGAAATGAGAATGAGGAGGATAGATATAGATATAGATATAGATATAGATATAGATATAGATATAGATATAGATATAGATATAGATATAGATATAGGAATTTATAGATATATAAATAGATATAGGAATTTATAGATATATTTATTTACATAATATATATAGGAATTTATATAAATAAATATATCTATAAATTCCTATATATATATATAGGAAACGGCTTTTTTTTACACGTTCATTTATTTATTTTGACAGAGCACAAGGAAGGAAGGGGGAGAGAGGGAGGGAGGGAGAGAGAGAATCCAAGCAGATTCTGTGGTTTTAGCACAGAGTTCAATGCAGGGCTCAAACTCATGAACCATGAGATCATGACCTGAGCTAAAGTGAAGAGTCGGACATTTAAGTGACTGAGCCATGCAGGCGCCCCAGGAGGACTTATTTGACAAAGGAGTGTCTTATGTCCCATCCAACTGCCAAAGACTACAGCAATGTGGAACCACTCCCATGAATGCAGGGGACACGAGCACGTGCTGACCCCAGAGACGTGAGGCTGTGCATCTGCCCCGTTAAACATACTCACTGTGTCGTCCAACGCCTGATTCTCCATCTGACCTTCCCTTGTCTGCAGGCCTCAGGGAGCCCCTTAGTTTCTCAGAACTTCAGTTTCTTCAGCCGGGATGTGAAGATAATAAGAGTTCCTGTGTCAAAGTGATGTTAGAGAGAAGAAATGAGATAATTCACAGAAAACCCCTGCTATTGCGTCCGGCTCAGCAGGTGGGTCAGTGTCACTTCTCTCTTCACCTAAAATACTAGCTAAAACACCTAAGTACTAGCCTCCCTACGCTTCCTAGGAGCTTTCTGCAGCCAGTGAGGCTCAAGCCACTAGGATTATGCAAAAAAAAAGTTACTGATTTATAAATATTGTCACTGACAGCTGCCAGGTAGCAATAATAATCTTAATAATTTGGTCGGAATTATAATTGTAATGAAATAAACCCAATATAGCTCTTATTGGTGGCAGGCCATGTTCTAAGAATGTTACACATATTGACTAACTCCATCCCCAGCAAGGAGGGTACCAGTATTCTTACCCCGTTTTTATACATGAGGAAGTGCAGGATACCAGGCACACAGCTAAGTGGTAAAGAGTACTTGAAGCCAGAAGGTTGGCGTCCCGAACTCATGCTCTTAAGTACTTTGCTTGACTGATTATTTTATTTAAACATTTTTATTATTATTATATTTAATGTTTATTTATTTTTGAGAGAGAGACGGGGGGTGGGGCGGAAGGGGCAGAGAGGCAGGACAGAAGATCTGAAGTGAGCTCTGTGCTGACAGCAGTGAGCCTGATGTGAGGCTCAAATTTATAAACCATGAGATTACGGCCTGAGCTCAAGTTAGACACTGACTGAGCCATCCAAGTGCCCCTATTTGCTGATTGTTTTTTTATAAAAATTGCATATACTCCTGAGTGTATTTGCTTTAAACGCTGGAAAGTTTTAAGAAGTCTGGGAAACCTTAGACAAATTAATGATGAAATATGAGAGAAAGACCAGGTAGACTAAAACACTGAAAATTTCTGTGATAATAAAGAGAGAGAATACTAAATAAAGAGATCAGTTTTGAAATGCATCAGTGAAACTCTGCGAGAACAATCAAGTAGAATTACCAGACAGTGATGCTGGCAATATGACAGTCTAGATCCCCCTGTTGACTTTCATGGTGAAAACACGTACAAATGCTGCATAAAGGATAAAGGAATGTTGAGAAAACAAGACTTGAACAAACCGATAAAGTTAGGAGCTTCTCACTATACAGTAAGCTTCTTACTGCTATTCAGTAAGTGAAGAAAGCAAAAATATAAAAAGGTCAAAGAACTGGCTTTCCCCATGAGGACATTGGCCAAATCAAGCTCTGGTTTTCAAGTGATGGGGTTCAGGACACACCATCTTGCAAGATGAGGGAGCAGTGTGAGAAGATTGCAGAGGGGGGCCAGTCTCTCTGACCTCCCCTGACCCTTCTCTCCAATGCGGGTCAGGAGACCCTCCAGTGAGAGGGGCACTTCCTATGCGAGGAGGGAAGGAGCAGCCTCTCTTCCCAGCGAGAGAAAACAATCCCAACAGGCAGGCCCTGCTAGAGCTCCTCCAGCCCGCCCCTCATCCCCTTCGTCCGGTCCCACTTGCCCACCCTGTCCACCGGCCAGCAAACCTGGCCTAAAGTTGCCAGTCATCTCCCTATGAAAGTTCGTAGGTCATGCAAAACTTCTATTAAATGAATTTGTACAATGTGCCCCCGTTAATCTGTCCTTGTCGGTTTTCTTTCCAGGTCCAGCCGGGGAACCTGAGAGGGTGGAGGAACACTCTCCTCCTCCCCTACAGGAGCCCTTGAGGGACACAAGTGTGCAGGGGCCAGGACCTGGGTGAGCACAGAGCAAAGGCCTGGAAATCATGGTGTCCTCTTAGTTTTCTTCCTCTCTCTTTCCTTCTGAGGAGGTCCCTCCCCAGTCATCACTCCCGGCCTCCGCCCTCTGGGGGCCCCCTGCCTGCTGCGGGGCGGTGGGTAGTCACCGGAGTCTCCTGGCAGCCTGGGGCCTCCCTCCCTCCAGCGGGCTCTGCAGCCGCGGCTCTCCCAGTCGCCCTTTCCTGGGCACTGTGCCCGCGGGGAAACAGTGAGTCAGACAGTGTCTAGTAGCAACAAGTGATGAGCAGATCCAGGTATAGACAGATTCTTCTCTGTCTTCCCACAAAAGAGAAAGGTGAGCACCTCCCATGTGCTCTCCCTCTCCATCCGTTATCGTAGGAGCGTTAGTGCTCTGGCATTTATGCTCCGGATCTAAGCTTTCATTTGTTGTTTCATTCAATAAATATTTATGAAGGGCCCAGTCTGTGACAATTGGTTAAGTGCTGGGGACACACGAAGGGAGGTAAGACGTATCCCCGCCCTTCCAAAGCTCGCAGTGGGACTCTCAGGAGTGGACTGTTTCTAACCCCAGTCTGCAAACAAAGCGCGTGAAGCTCGGACAGACAGGGAGGAGTGGTCACGGGGTGACAGCCGCACCGTCCCTTCTCCCGCCCTTGCTCCTCTACCACACCCAAGGCTCACTGAGAATTTGCACGAGCCACGGCTTTTGGGTGGCAAGTGACAGAAAAGGAAATCAATCAACCTTAAGCTAAAACAGGAATTTGGGAATTAGGAATGAAACCAAACTCTAGGTGGGGGAAGGGAGGGTGCAGGCACTGGGGGAGACTCAGGGGAGACTTGGTCCAAGGGAATCCTACTGTGTTGAGGGTTTCTCCCTTGCTCTTTTATCTCTAGCAGCCCCACAGTCTGGATTGACCTGTTTCTAATATCAGAGAGACACCCTCCAGGCACCTGGGGTGCAACTTACTGGCAGTCTATACCATGTCCTAATGACTCATGACAAAGGAAAAAGGGCTACTTCCCTGCTACCTATAGTTAGAACAATTCTGGGGAAAACGGATTTATTCTACATGGCCCACAAGCACACCTCCGGAGTCGCCTTTGACCCCAGAGGGGTGAGGAGTTCTGATTCGCTACTTCTTTTTTTTTTTTAATGTTTTTATTTATTTCTGAGAGAGAGAGACAGCGTGAGCAGGGGAGGGTCAGAGAGAGAGGGAGACACAGAATCTGAAGCAGGCTCCAGACTCTGAGCTGTCAGCACAGAGCCCGACGCGGGGCTCAAACCCACGAACCAGGAGATCATGACCTGAGCCAAAGTCGGATGCTTAACCAACTGAGCCCCCCAGATGCCCCTGATGGGCTACTTCTGTAGCCAAGGATGACAACGCTTATAATGGAAAGAAGGTGCGGTGGCACCAATGTGGCCACTGCACGGTGAGAATGGTGCCAACTCGGTCAGTACCTGGTGATGGGAGTGAAGAACACATCCCAGTAAAGATCTGGTACAGCACCTTTACCTCGATACCGATGCTACTGCCCTCTAATATTCAAACACTGTAATGATCAGTTTTGTTCTACTAGATGGCAACTAAAAAATTAATTAGGAAGCCTGTCCTGCTTTTTTCTCGTCTCAATAACATTCCATACATATGTTCCTTGATGTCTAAAAAAACTCACCCATAAAACATTGGGGAATAGGTTTTGGAATTAGGATGATAATATTTATTTAAAACTCTTTCTGGGGGTGGTGGTGCCTGGCTGGCTCAATCGGTGGAGCAGGCAACTCTTAATCTTGGGGTTGTGAGTTCACGCCCCACATTGGGTGTAGAGATTACTTAAAAATAAATAAAATTTAAAAAATAGAATAAAATAAAAATTCTTTCCTGAGTATGTTGTGTATTTAAATTTCCTTAATTACTAACATTTGATAGGTGTTCAAACTATGTTAGTTTCCTCTCCAACTGGAAAACAGAGGAGATTGCAATGTTAAAGATGATTGAGAAATGGTATATCTTTAAGGAGACTTACGAATTTTCAGAAGATTAACATGAGAACTGTGTTGAAAAAGAAAGGTATCAGAAAAAGGCACCTCTCAAACAACTGGTGATGAAGAACTGACTGTTTCTTTTTTTAAAACTGAATGCCGATCATTTGTAAGACAGTCTTACGGTGACTAGAAAAATACAAGTTAAATAACTGGTATACAAAAGGCAAGCCCGATGCCCTATGTTTAGATTCAATAAAATCAGTCCCTGGCAACGTTTCTAAAGAATATCTCAGTTTCTGTCCTTGCCTCAGGTCGGACTGGGAATGACCTTTTCAGGGAAGGGAACTAGCAGCCAGGTTATGCAATAACACCCACATCGGTAAGTCAAAGATCACCAGGCATGGGCCGGCCCCTGAGCAAGCAGGGCTGTTACCCAGTGTATCAGGGAGCCAGCACACTGCAACACGCCAGCAAGAATGGAGTTGAAAGGACTTTCTGGGGAGGAGTTTGGCTTGTTGAGATCTTGAGATCTCACATCTTGAGATGTGGGGTTCTGCCGGGTTGGAGGCCATTCTCAAGAGGGGGCAAGTCTATGCGTGGGTGGAGCACAGGGATAGGGATAAGCAGAATCTAAAGCTTTCCCTGCCCCAGAGACAATGGCCAGTCACTTCAGCTAGGATGCAAAACATTTTGACTCTGCTGTGGCTTGGACACGTTCCTGTCTTTGTCTGTGTTCAGACAAGCCCAGGCCTGGTGTGCGGATGTTCTGTGAAACTGTGCTGTGCGCTCACTAGCGGTCAGGGCCAGGCGGCTCCCAGAGGCAGGGCCGCTTTCCCTTCCCCACCTCTGTGAGGTGACATGTGAGCTGTAAAACTTTAAAAACATTTGAAGGTAAAGGAACCGGATGTGGGGAGTTGCTCACCTGGAGGGTTTGTGCCTTCCCCCCACTCCCCCGCAGGTCAAGGGTGGAACTCCAGGCCCAGACACTGCTGCCGATGCTTGGCCTCGCCCAGGAAACCTGGTGAGATTGGTGGGGGTATCAAAGGTGGGGATGTTTACAGGAAGGAAAGGCCTATTGTAGTTGGCCATGTTCCCAGGAGAAAGTCTAGAGATTTCTGGAAATACTCTGGTGCGGTTCTGACCCTGGGCTGCACCGGGCCTGTTCCCAGTTTAAATGACCACTCTCTGAGGGGCACGTTCACAAAGAGTCTCTCCAAAATAATCTGTGCAGATGGTTGACAAATGTTTGTAATTAACATGAAAATAAAAGTTATGTGTTTATTGTCCACATTCCAAAGTTCCCAGTTACAAAGAAGCAGATCCCTTTTAGGAAACTGGGTTCGAAACCAGCATTGATTCAACTGGATTATCTGCAAACTGACCTACAAGTAGATATTGAACTAAATGCAAAGTAACTCTCACAGTCCCCTTTTAACCTACTTTATTCTGCCCATGTTAGGACTGAACTCCTTATGCAAGGAAAATGTAATTGCTTATGCTTTTGAAATATATATATGTCTGTACTAAAAAACTGAGTTTCTGCTTGAATTTGTTTATTCTTTCTTAAGACATCTGGTGAAGAGAGGAAGTGGTAAGTAGGGTGGAAACGCATGATCTCTAATTGTTCTGAAAAAAGGTTTTATTTGACTTTCCTCTACATTTGGCTGCAGAGGGGATAAAAGAAATGAAGTGTGACCCAGACTCTCGTGGTTCAGCTGGCTGGCCTCCATCTTACGATTTACACTGACTTGGTTAAGCCTTTTTTTTTTCTTTTAAAGATTTTATTTGTTTAAGTACTCTCTATGGCCAACATGGTGCTTGAACTCATGACCTCTAGATCAAGAGTTGCACACTCTACCAACTGAGCCAGCCAGGTGCCCCTGATTTGGTTAACACTTGACCTGAAAAAAATGTAAGTATCCTACAAAGAGTCCATATAAGAACTTACTAAGAGGATTTGCTACAACTCTTTCAACAGTCATAAACATTTATTAACTCTCTTTCTAAAAGGGTACCAAGAATCTGGTAATTGATGACTATAAATTATTGTTTGTAGAAGAAGCAGGAAACTTCCCTTTCTTTCTACAATAATTTCATCATCTGTAGAGAAAATGGGCTTTGGTACGGAGCCAGAGCATGCAAATCTAATAGGGGATTTTCAGTTCAGCATCAGAATAAGAAATCAAATAGAGTAAGAAGGTTAACCTGGAGGCTGAGGTACGTCTACCACTGCCCGGCTGTGGACCCGGAGCAGGTCTTGCCCTGATGAAAACTTTAACTCGGGTGTCTTCATTTGTGAACTCTGAGCCCAGGGAGGTGCGTTTTGGTTTTGTTGTCCTTCTGTTTTTCACAGCTCTTCTTAAATCTTGTTTTGGTATCAGAAGCATGTGGACAATAAGGATATGCTGGAGACGGCAAAGGTCTGGGGACAGGTTTGGAAGAGTTGAGGACTGAGGCTCGTGAGCTTGGGGAAGAGGAAGTTCAAGGTGGGACAGAAAGATCTCTCTGGAAAACGTGGAACCTGCCACGTGAGGAAGATACATTCGTGTTCTGGGATCAAAGGATGGAAATTACAAGGAGATAGGCTTTGGTTCAATGTCAAAAACGTTCAGATTTTCATTAAAACATTACCAAGTATTAACTGAACACCTACTTTGTGCTAGGCACTGATCTAGGATCTGGGGATTCACAGTCAACAGCCCACAGAACTGCCCCAGGGAGGTGTACATTCTGTAGGGTAGCCTGGTGTGCTAGTTGCTGGAGGTTTTCACACAGACAGGCTGTTCACAGAGAACACCACGTCTGGGATTCCTGCTCTGGATGGGTTAACTTCCTCAGTCTGAAAGCCTTAAAGGTCTTTAAGTGTATGAACATTTAGTCAATCAACAAACATTTATTGAACAACGTCTTACTGCCAGGTATAGCCCTGGTCACTGGAAATGTAAAAATCCAGAGACACATCTCCCCACCGTGGGGCTTTCAATCCTACTGGGGAGAAAGATGTAAGCAATGTCAAAGCTTGGTGGTAGAAATACGTAACGGAGCAAGAGCCCACCAAGGTGGAAGAGAAAAGTCAGGCTGAAAGTGTTCTGAAAGAAGGGACATCGAGGTGTTTTAAGGGATGAGGAGGGCTTCAGCAGGCAGAGAGGACCCATGAACAAGGTCTTGGAAGCTGTAAATAAAATGGTGCACTTAGAAAACCGCAGGTAGTTGTATGATCCTAGTTTGGGTTCTAATTCCCAGTGGATAAAAATGGCGCCGAAGGCATAGTGCCTGGGGATTTGCACTATCCATGCCATTTGAGGGCGGATCCCAGGGCTTGGCAGGGTGACTGATCTTATATGTTTATTCGTGTACTCTTCCAAAAATCATTGAGTACCTATTATGGGCTGGATACTGTATCGTGTGGCGGGGGTACAGAAGGACTTAGACCAAGTCCTTGTCCCCAAGGAGGCTCCGGTCTAAGGAGGGACACGGACGGATCAGCTAGGGGAGAGGAGTCACGGGTGTTGTGAAAGGCACTTGGGTAAGGACGCTGAAACCACAGAGACCAAGTGAGAAGGGAAGGCGGCAGGTGACAGAGGAGAGTGGAGGCCAAGTTCAGGGCGGCGCTGACCTCTGGGGTGAGCCCTGCCGGGCAGGAGGGATGACGGGGGGGGGAGGCGGCAGGGTCCGCGGTGCCGAGGGCGGTGCCGGGAATGCTACACGCCTCCGAACAAGCCGGGGCCAGCACTCGGGCCGGGGGCACACGCGCCGCAGCCCGGCTGCGGCCCTCCCGCGACCCCGCGGTCCGCGCACACTTGTGAGCAACGCCGTGTGTGTCCCGCCAGGACACCCCTCCCGTCCTGCACGGGTGACCTTTCCGAGAAGAAGCGCAGCAAGGCCGGGTGAGAGCGGAGACACCTCCAGGCCGGCCCGGACGCTGCTCGCGGCCCGCAGCAGGGGAAGCGCGGCGAAAACGGGTGCGGCCGACAGAGCCCCCCCCCCCCAAGCCTGACCCCCCAGCCGGGGCCGGCTGCAGGTTGGCATCTGAGACCGGAAACCGGGATGCGAGCCACGGGACCTCCCTTCCCGGCCCGGTCGCCGGCGTCACGTGCCCTCCAGGCCGCCGCCGCGCCCGCAGCTCCCGCGCCCGCCCAGCCGCGCGCCGGGGCCGCCGGCTTGGCCTCACCTGCCCGCGTCCTGTCCGCACAGTGCGGCCCGGTGCCGCTTCCGGCAGTTTCCCTGACACACCCGGGACGCTTGCTATTTGGCCAACTGAGGGCTGTGCTCCTGGAAGAACCGCTTGCGTTCCGTCAGGAGGCCCGCAGCGTCCCAGCGACGACGCCCCAGGCGGAGCGTGGCTCCCGCCGCCCGCGCACGTGGGCGCCGCCCCCTGACCTGCAGCCCTCGGCCCCCCCGCCGGCCTGTGCGCACGCGCGCCGCTGCCTGACCGCCTGCCGCTGCCGGCGCCCCGCCTGTCTCTGCGCATGCGCATTCTTCCCGACCGCCGTCAACGCCTATTTGCCTATGCACGTGCGCACCTCTCCCCGACCACCTGCCGCCAGTTCTCGCCTGCCTGTGCGCATGCCCACATATTCTGGCCCCAGTTCTCTGCAACGCGCAGCTGCGTGTCCCACAATCTCATTCAGCCCCACACTCTGTCCCTGAGGGAGCCTTAGATCCTGCCAGTTCAGGGCTCAGTCCCAGGAGTCCGGCCCCCGTACCCCATTTCATTTGTGAGTCGTGAGGAGTGGGTCCCCAGGGTCCTCGCGACTTCTGTCCAACTTGACTACACATCTCGTGCTCACATGCTCGCCCTCCTCTGGGTCAAGCATTTGCTAGAGGAGCTCTTAGAACTCAGAGAAACACATTTACCCGTTTATTAAAGGACACGACTAAAGAGTGCAGATGAATAGCCAGATAAAGAGACGCATGGGGTGAGGTCTGGGAGGCCCCAACACAGGAGCTTCTGGAGTTGGGGTGTCACCCTCCCTGGTGTGGATATGTTCACTGACCTGGGAGCCCTATGAGCCCCTTACTTTAGGGTATGATCAGTCATTAACTCCATTTTCAGCCCCTTTAGCTTCTCAAGAGAATGGCGGGGGAGGGTGGTGAAATTTTAAGCTCCTAATCTGGGCTTGGTCTTTGTGGTGAAGGGAGCCCCCCTGGGATCACCTCATACAAATAAAAGACACTCCTATCAGCCATGACATTACAAGGGTTTCGGGAGGCCTGTGCCAGGAACTGGGGCAGAGCCCCGCATGTATCTTTTCTGTCACTTCGTGGTGGTGTGGCCTCACATATCATTCCCTGCCTCTAGTCAAGATGACTTTGGGATTCTGTTGGGTTGAGTCTGGGTGCTGGGATCCTCGCTCTACTTTGTGGATTGCGGGGGATGGCGATCGCTGGTGCTGGAGTCACCTTACTGTTGTGTAGACGGTAAGAGTTTACTTGCTGTATTTCGCGTGCTCTCCCAGCTTCCCAGTGAGGTGAATGTTATGATTTCCATGCTGCCAGCGAGAAACCTGAAACCCAGACAGAGCAGGTGAGTTTGCCCTGTGATTCAGCTCATGCACAGCATCAAACCCTTGTCCATCCTGGCAGGTTCATCCCGAGGATAATGTGGGTGAAAGGAGCTGCTGTTAATAACTGCCTGGAGAGCCGGGGGTAACATGGAGCCCTAGGGGGCAGACTGGGGAGTGTGTGCAACTGGTGGTCTCTTTAAAAGAACAAATTGTAATCTTGGTAATCGTTTTTACTTTTAAAAATTCTCCATCTTACTGATTTTTAACCTTAGATTTATTATTTCTTTTCTTTAGGAAGGATAAGATTGCCATCTCCTTTTATGAAGCCAATGTAACTCTAATATCAAAATTATTTGATAAAAAAAGTACACTAAAAGTAGATTACAGTCCAGTCTCACTTCTGAATACAGATTCAAGCATCCTAATGTGTATTAGCTCACTGAATTCAGTGATTAAAAATTATAATATACTGTGATAAATTATGGTTAATTTTAGGAAGGTAAGGAGAAAAATTTTACATTAGAAAAAAACTATTAATGTAATTTCATATACTAACAAGTTAAAGAAGGAATACTTAGGAACATTTCAAGAGATGCACAAAAAACATCTTATTTACTATTTAAGTTAGTAGAAAACTAGAAAGAAAAAGAAACTTCCTTAATGGAATAGAAAAGTATTTATCTTTTTACTTGGAAAAACTTGAAAAGCATTCTCTTTAAGATCCGGAACAATACAAGATACATACTATCGTAATGTTCTACATAACACTGAAAGTTCAGGACATGTAATAAGACAGGAAAGAATGCTAAGAAATATAATGATTGGGTGAAAAGAGATGAAATCATTGCAATTGCAAGCATTGTGATCATTTATAAGAAGACTAAAAACAACAGACTTTTAGAAATAATAAGAAAGTTCAATATTATAATACTAACATACAAAAATCAATAGCATCCCTCAATATCAGCAATAATAAAATCAAGAAGATCATAGGCAATAAAATACCAAAACAAAAACAACAAACCTGCAAAATATCAAGGACTTAAGAGACAAACATTCACAAGATCATTACAAAAGAAAACTTAAAACTCTGTAGCAAAGGGCATAAAGAAAGAGCTGAATTAATAGCGAGGTAAATCATCCGCAGTATTTAAAGATAACAATTTTTCCCTGATTTAATGCAGTTTCAAGCAAAGTCACTGCCACTATTGGGGAGATCCTGCTCTGCTCATATTTGGAATGAACCTTCCACTGAGTGAGTCTGGGTTGAAGGCAGGACCCCCTCTGTGGAAGTCATAGAAGGACCAGACACCCCTTCTGGCTCTTCGGAAGTTAGCACATGAGTATGTGATCCGAGCTCAGACATGAAATTCTCCTTCTCAGGGCTCTGACTCCTGAGCGATGCAGTGATGTGGGGAGGGTTCAGAGGACTTTTCACTGTGGCCGCCTCCATGTTGGTGTCCCAACAGCTGCTCCCTCCTGTCTGTCTGTCCTGCTGCCACCTGCTCTTCCTTGGTTAGTGCCCAGATTTTGAGCTTGTTTCTCTGGGCTTTTCTCCCAAGAGCTCTGGTGAATTCTGATGCCTTTCTTCTTCAGTAGATTCATTTCTGCATTAAATTAGATAGACCAGTTTCTGATGCTTGTAATCAAGAACTTGGAGCTGGGAACATTGCCACGATATTGCTGAACTTCGAGGGGAAGAATTCCAGTCTGTGAGTAACTAAGATCAGGAGTCAGCAAACTTTTTCTGTAACAAATACTAACCATTTTAAGCTTTGGTGGCTGGATGCAACTATTCAACTCTACTGTTGTCAGGGCTCAAAAGCAGCCATTGGCAGTATGTAAGCAAATGGGCATAGTTGTGTTGCAATAAATTTTTAATTACAAATAGTTGGTGAGCAGAGTTTGGCCCAGGGGCTGTACTTCCCTGACATCTGATTAAGACAGTCATGAAGTGGTGCCTGGTTGGCTCAGTTGGTTAAGCATCTGACTTCAGCTCAGGTCATGATATCACGGTTCATGAGTTTGAGTCCCACATCAGGCTCTGTGCCTGGAGCCTGCTTGGGATTCTGTGTGTGTCTCTCTCTCTGCCCTCCCCTACTTGTGCTCTGTCTCTCTCTAACTCTCAAACATGAATTAATGTTAAAGAATTTTTTAATAAAAATAAATTTAAAAAAATTAAAAAAACAGTTATGAAAAAGAAAAGCAAAGAGGAGACAGACTCACTCTACTAACTAGCAGACACATCACCCAGCCATAGGAAAAACAATATGGTACCAGTATGGAAACATACCCATGGCTCGCGGAACAGAATAGAACCAGAAACAGGCCCATGGGAGTTTGGGTTACTTAAACATTTTGTAGGAAAAGTTGGTTCACCAAATGGAAAAAGATAAATTAGGTCCCTATTTAAGGAAAAATATAAAAATAAGCTCAAAATGTAAGTATGAAGTGGGGCACCTGGGTGGGTCAGTTGGTTGTGTCTGACTCTTGATTTTGGCTCAGGTCATGATCTCATGGTTCGTGGGATAGAGCCCTGTGTCAGGCTCAGCACTGACAGCACAGAGCCTGCTTGGGATTCTCTCTTCCTCTCTTTGCCCCTCTCCTGCTCATGCTCCCTCTCTCTCAAAATAAATAAACTTAAAAAAAATAAGCTAAATACAATAGAATAAAATTTCTAGAAGAAAATATGAAGTATCTTCAGGACTTCGGGGTATGAGAGGATTATGATTGCCAGGCCGTTATTACACTATTTTACATTCTCAGAGGACACATCAGCAGAGAAAGCCGTTGTATTATTAGGGCAAGTTAACTTGGGTGAGCACAGTCTTATTCAAAGACCAGAACACAAGTGGTGAACCATTCACTGGGCGGTGGAAAGAAAGGAAGGCCAGGCTGCATGAGGAATGGGTGTTTTTGTGTGGACAACAATGATGGCAAACCCTGAAGGGACAGTATTTGGAGCCAAAAAGCAATCCAAGGCTCTGATGGAAAATTCTTTAAATAACATGGCTTTCAGGTCCAAGAATGGGACAAGCGAGACCGAGTAGATCCTTACCGTTATCTTGCTGGAGAGGCAATAAAAAAGACCGGAAACACGCAACCATGGCTTCAAACCCAAGTGTCGTCACATAGAAGCTGTGAGAGTTCCCTCTTCTTTGGAATGGATGAATACTACCCTCATCTGAGGGTTGCTGGGATTTCTGGAATGTAAGCAGGTAAGGTGGACTGAGACGGTTACACGCTCTTTGTTGTGCCCTCCCATTGAAAAGCGGAGTTTGTTTTCCCTTGCTTTGAATCCGGGCCGCCCGGCATGATGGAACGTGGCAGAAGTGGTGCCTCTGCGTCCTGCTTCTCGGACACTGTAGGTCTGGGCATCGGCCACTGGAGTGTAAAGAGGCCACCTGGAGAGAGAGAGAGGTACCAGCTCTCCAGCCATCTGTGCCAAGGCACCAGACATGTGAAGGAAGCAATCTTGGACACTGCAGCCCAGCCACTGACTGATGAGATCAAGGCCAGCAGATCCATCGAGTCCATCCACAGAATTATGAGTGATAATGCATAACTGTAGTAGTTTCAAAATATTAGGGCTTATTTGCTAGGTAGCCACAGACAACCAAGAGTCTATTAAGCAACTACCAAGCACCAGAGTGCTTGGAATATGCAATATCCCAAATCATTGTACCAAGCTTTCACATTGTAGCAGTTATGCCAGTGAGCCCAGCATATGGGGGCTATCCTTCAGGAAAAAGTCAGTTTCCATTTAATGCTTTTCCAGACCACTAATTTATATATCAGTTAATTAATTCCTCCTTTCAACAAATGTTAAATGGATGTCTACTCTATGTCAAATGCCCTTTTCTTGTCTGAAAGTAATTAAAATGATACCCTTTAAGTCTTTGTTGGTGATGTGACAGTTATTTAGATAATCAGGATAATAGGGTTTAGCTAAAAAGGCATATATTTCTCTGATCTGGACAAGTAAGAAATGAAGTTCAAAGGAAATTTATCCTAAGCAAATTATAATGAATATCTTTCTATGTATTAATACTTAAGCTGAATGGAAACCAGTTAGCTATTTCAAGTTTAAAGTGGTCTGTATTTTGCCTATCATTCTAGATTTATCTAAAATGAAAATTTTAATTGAGCAACTTAACTCAAATTAATATTCATTCATTCATTCATTCAACAAATACTTATTAGATGACTTCTGTGTGCCAGCGATCATGCTAATCACTAAGTTTCTAGTTCTGAACAATTCAGACATACACATTGTCTTTTCTGCCCAGAAATCCACCATTCCTACCAATATCACAGGGGAACGGGGTGGGGAGAAGCTTAAAGAAGTATAGATTGAGCATGGTGTTTGTACCGGCATGATTCCATAGATTAAGAAGTTGTGGTCTAGGTACTTTGAGATGGATTCTTCCCTGTGTGTGATCTAGTTACAGGTAAACTGAGGAAGTAGAATAGGTGTTAAGTTCAAACAGAACTTCAGCCTATTATATAAGTTTACCAATCTTTCTATAGAGTTGCTTGTTTTTATTTGCAGCTAGGCAAGTTTGCTAATCTGAGCGGCAAGAGAAAGAAGCCTGTCAAGTGCATCTGAATAAGCGGAGGTTGTTCTCAAGATCTCTTTCAGGCGAATGTGTAGCCCATACACCTGCACATGGAATGAACTCCACAGCCATCATCATCCAAGCCAGAGAGAGCAAGTCCACTGTTACTTTATAATCAGGGACAGCCTCTGGTCCTGGGTTCTAAAGTCTATAATCCTCAGGAAAATGTCTCAGCGAAAGACAGCAGGGATGAAAGCCTGTGCTGTTCCCTCAACGTTGACATATCAACCTTTGGCAATCATGAGGCCATGTTTCTCCTCACTTGTTAATGCTGCCACAGATCACAGCTGCCCTTAGCTAGAGCTCAGGCCAAAGTGCAGTTCATCGTCCTCTTCCCACTTGCTGGTAATCAGAGTTACGCTTTCACATGCATAGAAAGGTCAGTGAATAAGTGGGCAGAGTCATGTTGCACGACAGCTTTCCATACCTGCAGAAAATGTAACATCTACCCCCAAAGACACGGCCATGGTCACCACCGTCTATAGATTCATCTGTCTCTGGAACAGTAAAGCACTAACACTGAATCCTCTCTTTGTTGGTTGGGGCACTGATGTCTGGGCTGTAGTGGCCAAGGGGGTACAAACTGGGACTCATCTTTGCCAAGCCTTACAGCATTTAATTACAGCGAGTGCACTTGCTGTTAGAATGAAGAACTCTCTGGTGTGACTGGTAGATGGTTTCATAAGAGGAAGGATGACCCCATGTGGCAGTTTTAAAGCATAACCTCAATTTTTTTGGTGCTTCTCATATCAAGGTGGCATGTGTACCCTGTCTTTACTGTAGGAGGGCTTGTGGTTACTTTGACCAGCGGACTCTGACACCAGCGATGCTACATGACCTCCGAGGTTATATACAAAGGGCTCTCCAGCTCCCTCCTTGTGGGAACACGTGCCCTTTGAGCCCTGAGCCACCGTGTGTGAAGTCCGGTCACGTTTTCATCTCATGCTGGAGAGACTATGTGTATGCTATAGGGCTGACAGTCCCTTCTGAGCCCTGATCTCCAGCCACCTGCAATGTGTCAGACATGTGAGTGGAAGCGTCTCAGACACTCAGAAGCAGCCCGTCTGTCCCATGAAACAAAAGAATTACCCTGGGGAGACTTGCCCAAATTCCTGACCCACAAGATCACGAGATTTAATAAAATGATTGTTGTTGTGAGCCACTATTTAGGGTAGTGTTTTAGTGCAGTGATAGATTACTGAGACATCCTTTGTGTTAGTTCAGGTCCTAGAAGAGCGAGTGCCAGGTCGAGATTAGACATGCAAGATTTATGGCTGGGAATCCTTCCGGCCTCTAGGAGGGACAGAGGGGACACAGCGGAGTAGGTGGGAGGAGCCTTCAGACTAGGGTGCAGGTCCAGGGTCTGCAAAGTCTTCGTTACATCATCGTTGTGAGACAGTCTTGTCTGGGCTGGCAGGGGCTCCCAAGCCTGTTAGAGACGCCCTACTTGTCCAGACTACCTGATGGTCACACTGGAGTTTTGGACTTGCATGAGCTGCGGTGCGCTAGTTTGTAGAATGTAGTTCAGAAACTCATTACACACGGCACAGCCCTTTACAGTGGCACTTAACACAGTGTGTTATAATAACTTCCCAAATGTCTGCTCTGTTCACCAGACTTTGAGATTCTGGGAGGTACGTGTATGTGTCTTTCACCTTCATAGGCTTCTTCATCCCCAAGTTCCTGACTCAGTGAATGTTTGTTGAATGACTAATGATCAAAGTTTGTTTTCTGTGTAGGCACCGGAATAATCCTTTGACCATGTATGTGAGGGCTCATTCTGGACTCTCTCTTCTATTCCGCTGGTTTCTATGTCTCTCTTTATGCTGGTAAGCATCCGGTGCTGATTACTGTGACTTTGTAGTAATTTGAAATCAGGAAGTGTGAATTTTCTAGCTTTGTTCTTCTTTCTCAGGATTGTTTTGGCTATTCAGGGTCCCTTGAAATTCCATATGAATTTTAGCATAAGCTTGTCTCTTTCTGCATTAAATCTGTAGATCACTTTGGGTGGTATTGACATTTTAACAATATTAAGTCTTCCAATCCATGAACATGGGATCTTCCCACTATTTGTCTTCTTTGATGTCTTTCAGAAACGTTTTACAGTTTTTATAATACAAGTCTTTCATCTCCTTTGTTAGTTCCCAAGTATTTTTTCTTTTTGACATAATTATTAATGGAATGGTTTTCTTAATTTCCTTTTCAGATTGTTCATTGTTCACGTGCAGAACTGCAACTGATATTTGCTTGTTAACTTTGTATCCTGCCACCTTGCTGAACTTACTAGTTCATTATTATTAGTTTATTATTGTGCATGCATGTGTACACTTGCACACATGCAATCTTTAGGGTTCGGGTTTTTACATACAAGATCTTATCATCTGTGAACTGAAATAATTTTACTTCTTCCTTTTCATTTTGGATGTCTTCTATTTCTGTTGTCTAACTGCTGTGCTTAGGACTTCCAGTGTGATGTTGGGTAGCGGCGGCCAAACCAGGCATCCTTGTCTTGTTCTGACCTTACGGGAAAAGATTTGTCTTTCACCACTGAGTATGATGTTTGTTGTGGGGGTTTCATATTTTTATCATGTTGGAGGGGTTTCCTTCAATTCCTAGTGTATTGATGTTTTCATCATAAAAGGGTTTGAATTTTGTCAAATATATTTCCACATCAACTAAGACAATTATGAGGTTTCCCCCTTCTTTCTCTTAATGTGGTGTATTACACTGATTGATTTTTGTTACCATCGTATCATGTTTGTTTCCCAGGAATAAAACCTACCTGCTTGGTGTATAATCCTTTTACTATGCTGCCAAATTTGGTTTGCTAGCGCCTTATTGAGAATTTCTGCATCAATTTCATAAGGACTATTGGCTTTAGTTTTCTTGTCCTATTTTTGTCTTGCTCTAAGGGTAATGTTGGCTTTATAGAATGAGTAAGGGTGTGTTCTTTCCTCTTTAAACTTTTGGAAAAGTTTGAAAGGAGTTGACTTCAGTTCTCCTTTAGAGGTTTGGTGGAGTTCACTGGTGAAGCCTTCAGTCCTGGGCTTTCCTTTGCCAGGAGATTTTTGATTGCTAATTTAATCTTTTTACTAATTACAGGTCTATTTAGACTTTCTCTTTCTTCATGATTTAATCTTGGTAGGTTTTGTGTTTGAAGAATTTGTCCATTTGTCAATGTCTACGTTGTCCAATTGTCTACGTTATCCAATTTCTTGGTGTACAATTGCTTACAGTGTTGTCTTACTTTTAAATTTTTTTCTATAGAATCAGTAGTAATGTCCTCACTCTTGTAGCTAATTTTAGTAATTTGAGCCTTCTCTCTTTTTTTCCCTCAGTCCATCTAGGTAAAAGTTTGTGAATTTTGTTGATTAAAAAAAAATCCAAATTGTAATTTAATTTTTAATCTGTAAGTTTGTTTTTCTAAACTGAAGACTTTATTTTTTTGGGCAGTTTTAAGTTCACAGCAAAATTGAGTGGAAGGTATGACCATTTTCCACAGATGCCCTCCCCTTTTCTCACAGACAGAGCCTTGCCCATTACCAACAGCCCCATCGTGGGGGTTCGATGGTGCCCCATGGGTATGTGAGGCTACGCTCACTTTTCTTTGACCCTTTTTCCTGTTCTTCCTCACACTTGATCATTTCCATTGCCCTATTATCAAGTTTGCTTGAAAATTATCAAGTTTTCTTCTCAGAGAGTGCTTCTCCCACAGAAACACATTAGTGGGTCTCCACGCTACAGAGTGAGCTGTGTGGACATAGGGAAAATGAGTTTCTGGGAGAAGTCAGAAGGAATGGGGTATAGACCTGAGGATAGGAAGTTGGGGCCTGGGGAGGTGGGCAGCCAGTGAGAAGCTACTGATGCTGGGGGAGGTGAAAGATTGAGGGAGGGGGATTATGTCCAATTTCGGGTGTGTTTGATGTCACTGTCCTGGTGGGGAGTGAACCCCACTGTTGATGCACGTCTTCAATGCTCTGGCAGTCAGGTAAAGAGAAGAGGATGGGACTGATGTCTGGGTGGGCCCTGAGGAGCAGCCGTATCAGGAGAGAGGCAGGGAAATTGGATGGTGGCTGAACTCAACCAGAAGTGACTATGGGGATGGAAATCCTTGGGTATTCACATGCATTTTGTGGAAAGACCTGGACTGGCAGAATACTGACAATGAGAGCTTGGACCAAGACAGTAAGGGGAACTCAGCAGCCTTTGGGCCACACGAGCAAATGAGAGGGGCTGGAGAACGAGAGGGGCTGAACCTCCCTCCCTGCCCACGCGGTGATGGAGCGAGTGCAGCTGAAGACCCAGAATGATGCGGTGGGATTCTTGTTGGTCTGTTTGCTTGTTTCAGTCTTTGATCTCACTGTGCAGCATATTTCCCAGGAGAAATCCTTTACCATGGAATACAAGCTTTATTTATCCGTGTATTTAACATTTATTAATATCTACCAAGTGCAAGTTGCTTGAGGAAAGTCATCGATGAATGACACACTCATGCCATAAAGGGGCTTATCCCCAGAAGGAGAGACAGAAACACGTGAAAACCAACCACAATATAGGCAAGAGCCAAGTCAGCACTCAGCGGAGTTCAGGGACCTCTTCTGTTAGCTCTGGTTGGATAACAGTTACAAGGAATCCGATGAATGAACGTGTGCTCTCCCTGAAGTTCCTACTTCCTTCTTGAACTACTCTTTCCTGTTCAGAGAGAAAATAAGACCATCTCACATGGTATAAAACACACAAAACCCAGCCTAAGATGCTAAGAACAGAAGACATGTCACAGCAGCGACAGGGTCATGCAGCTGATTTAAGTGTCTGTAACAAAGGTTCTGAACAACAATCTCAGAAGGCTAAGGAGGTCGTGCTGGGTGGGAGGCAGGCCCTGGGTGCCGACGTCTCCCTTCCCCGTCTCTGCCGTTTCATCAGGGTGTGATCTTGGATAAAGTTCTACTTAGCCACTCTCAGTATTAGATCACGTGCCTGATGAAGGCACCACTCATTGGACTGTTGTCTTAAATGAACTAATGCTTGTGAAATGCTGGGTACACTGAATGCTAGTTTTGTTTTTATTATTCTGAAAAGAACATCGAGAATTTTCCATCTGTGAGTTTAATCATATTCTTTTGAATTTATATTTTCTAAGCATATGACTTCTTGGATTAATGAACTCACTCTATTTAAAACCTATATAATTAAATCTTGCTCTCATTTGTCCAGAAGTTACCTCTTTCCAATGTTGACTCGGGGGCACCTCAGTGTCTAACACGTAAGAATTTAATGCCTTGGTCGGTCTTCTTCATGTGAAATCTAATCTGTTCCTTTTTTGATCCCTTTCTACTTTTTTTTTTTTTAAGGTTCTAAGACAGTAATGCAGGCCATAGAGTGCTCCATGAATCTCACAGGTATGTAAGGGGAGGCACTACTTTCTGTTTTGTTGGTGGTAACTTTATCGACAGTTGTCAGTGGTTTGTGAATTTTTTTGACAGCAGCAGCAATTTGAGCCAGAACTTTAGGGTACAGCTACACGGTATTTCCCAAAATGTGCTCTCAGCAGCGCTGTTCTGTGAGGGCTCTCTCAGTGTTGCATGGAAAGGATTCCCACTCAGGGAGTGCTGAGTTCAGCAAGCGTGGGAGGGACTCTTGAGTAACCTGTGCACCCGAAATGCAGTAGGTACATAGGGAATTGTCTTGTGGGACCACTCAGTGTTCCGGGAACACAGTTTAGGAAATTCCAATAAATAGTAAATTGTAGGTTCCACTGAGGGCTTATATGCACTTTATTCTAGGGGTAATTTTCTCTTGAGGACATCACCCCATCCGATGGAAGGGCTTTGGTCGCTTCTCTGTTCTTTCAGAACCTTAGGTAGCTGTGAGGAAGATGCTCTACTCCTCAGGGCATCCCCTCAGGGGGACACTCTCTGAAAGTATCTGAACTGAGTAAGAAAGAACATGGAGTGGCAGCTTGGGGGGAAAAACACCTTAGGAGGGTCATTTTCATGAGTTTACTAAATGATACCGTGTTACTGAAAACGTGAAATCAATATCCTCATTGCATGTAATAGCCTGGCTACCTTCGGGGTGTCTAAGGTCTCAAATCTCTCCCCTCAGTGGGCTTGAGGTGTACATTGCAAGGTGTTTCTCCAAGTTTCCCAGCCTTTCCTGTTCAAGCCCGCCCCCAGGAGACCATGAGAAAGCCCCCGATGGGAAATCATGAATATTACCATATAATTCCTGGATTTCTCTGATATCGCCCGGTGAGAGCTGAAAATTCTCAGAGTCCCCGGCTCCATAGGTGGGGTACATGACGGAGTCAGGATCAGACGAGTGGCCCAGGCCCAGAGAATGGCCAAGTTCATGGGTTGCAACAAATAGGAAGTTAATTCCTGCAACCGAAGAGTAATACACGGTAATGACAGAAGCAGCCATGTGAATAAAGACATGGAGGATTTGTAACAGAAGACAGAGCAGCTGTGAAAATGCAGTCTAGGGAGCCTCTGCAGCTCGCCTGCTGGGAGGCCTCACGCGTGGGGGCGGCTGAGAAGGAGAATCACAGGAGCTTTAATGTCAGCCCTCTGCTGCCGCTGAAGGAAAGGGCAGTTGTTCTGTTCACGTGCTCCCCCTCCGGTCACATAGCAGTTTTCTGGAGGGAAGGCAGAGGCTCCTGGGGCATCTGGACCCAAGCTTGAGCCCCTGCTCTTCTCCCTACCTGCCTGAGACTAGAAAACGGACAAACCTATCAGTTCCTCCTCTGCTTCTCGGAGGCAGTCATGTGGAGCTGTCAGCGGTGAGAGCCCCCTGTACCTGCGGACAGTGGCTAGTCGCTCACAGACGGCGGCGCGGGGGGTCAGGGAGAAGGAGGCAGCTATGAGGGTGCCCACACTAAAAGGCAGCAGGTCCGGGAGCCTCCGGCTGTGCTCCATTCACGTTCTCATCCTCCTGGCTGTCCTCCCCTCCTCAGACTCACAAGGGGCAGCCGGGGGCTGTTAGCACAGGGTACGCGGCCACCAGTGTCACCGCATCAGGCACATCTGTGCTGGTGACCTCCTGTCGCACAGGCCCCGACCTCCCTTTCCGGGACCCTTGGCAGGCACGTGAGTTTGTTTAACGTATTTACTTTTAGAATCATCTCCACCTTGTATTATTCACACCAGAACTTTTCTCCATTAGTGTCCTGGGGGTCTGTGGTCCCTTGACAGGCGGGGCTACGGCGTGGGTTCCTTTTGAACCACAGTCAATGATCTCAGAATTGTCAACAACTCCCAAACATCATAGTCTCTGCTTCTCTTTCTCCTCCAGGAAAACAAACTTACTGCTGCACCTGGGAGCTCAGGTGGTAAAAATGTCTGACTCTTGATTTCAGCTAAGGTCATGGGCTCATGGGATCAAGCCCCACTAAGGGCTTTGTGCTGACAGTGCAGAGCCTTCTAGGGATTCTCTCTCTCTTTCTCTCAAAATAAATAAATAAAACTTAAGAGAGAGAGAGAGACTCAGAGTCCTTTTAAATGCTTTCTTTTCACGGGGTGCTTGGGTGGCTCTGTTGGTTAAGTATAAGACTCCTGACTTTGGCTCAAGCCATGATCTCATGGTTCGTGAGTTTGAGCCTCTGCATCAGGCTCTGCACTGACAGTGCGGAGACTGCTTGGGATCTTCTGTCTGTGTTTCTCTCTCTCTCTCTCTCTCTGCCCCTCCCCCACTCTCTCTCTCTTTCTGTCTCTTAAATAAGTAAACTTAAAAAAAAAACCCAAAAACACCTTACTTTGGGGAAATATAAAGAAAGAACTCTAATTTAGCAAACTATTAAGGTATCCCAAACACTATGCTAAGCGCTGTGGACACACTATCTCATTCAATTTAAACAAGAATCCTGTGAGGTGGGAATTCTTTATAGTCCCAGTTCACAGATGGAAACCGAGGCTCAGAGAAGTCAAATAACTTGGCTAGAGACACACAGGGAGTGGCTGGTGGAGGTCGGGCAGGGTGACCCCCGCGTGGTTTGTGCCCCCTTCCAGCTTCTGTGCACACAGCATACGAGCACGGGACGTGAAATAACACATGTAAAGCACAGGGTGCGGTCACCGCAGCTAACGAAGGGTCAGTACTTATCATCCCGTGACGCGGCGCTCGAGGTCGGCGTCTGCGGGCACGCGCGGGGCAGGGGCGGCGCGGGGCTCACCGACTCCGCGGCCGTCCGCCCAGCGCTCGTCCTCGTCGAAGTGAGCGTCTCCTCCCAGGCCCGGCCCCGGCTCGAAGGCGTGAGCCAGCGTGCCGCCGGGCCCGTCGAATGGGTAGAAGTCCCCGTGGGCTGAAACGAAGAGGGCGGTTGCCCTTAGCGACCGGCCTTCATCCCGGGGTCGCTCCAGTGGCCGCGGCCGCGAAGCTCGGCCGTCCAGGTCGCCGGCGCGCCGTCCCCCGCAGGGCGCATGCGCGTGCGGCGCTGCAGGAACGTTCTTCCACAAATCCGCGGCGCAGCCCGGCCTCCGCGCGAGACTGAAAGCTGCCCCGACACCTCCCGTCCCGCCCACGTCCCGCCCACGTCCCGCCCACGTCCCGCTTCCAGGGCCACGTGGCTGTGACGCTCCCCCCTCTCCCCGGGCAGGATGGAGAAAGGAACGCACGTGGGTACCGTTTAGTGCCCCGTTCCTGGGAAGCCCAGCGTGCGAGCCGCGGGCGCCACAGCCGGTCTCCGGAGGGCCGTGCGCAGCGCCGGCACGAATTTCGCCGGGCTTTTCTTTGTGACGCGGGGATGTTTGTTTTTGAACTGGAATCAGGCTGAATCCAGTTTACCACTTCCTGAAAGCCCGGGAGCGCCACGATTAGCGCCTTCTGCGACGTTTTCTTTTGGCGCTGTCAGCACTGTGCTGGAGGAGAAATTTCAGCTAAATTCACAGCGCCCGGGCAGTGCCCCATAATAGCAGTTCCTGTAGGTGGGTTGAATCTCGGTAAGCCCTGTGCGGTGAAAGCTCTCTATTTCTGCTTTCCTACCAGACCGAGGGTGCTGGCAACAGGCCATCCGGGAGACCACCGGGCCTTTGGAGTTGTAGCCCCTTCTCTTGGTTTAGGGCTGATGTTGGGTATATTGTAACCCATAGATACACACGTACACATGTACACATCTATCAGGGTTTATGCTACAAAACGGGTTGTAAGCGTTTTCTGTAAAGGACCACATAGTAAGTGATTTAGGATAAGCGTGGTGGTAGCTGTCACAACCGCTAAGCTCTCCCACTGTAGCCCCAAAGCCGTCACTGACAGCAGGAAAATGAAGGACCAGCATTGTGTTCTAATTAATATTTTTTAACAAAATGCTGGAACTGCCCACAAAAAAAAAAAAAAGGATAAAAATTTATTTACAAAAATAGATCGTGGGCCAGATTCAGCTCATGGGCCACCATGTGGCACCCCTCTTGTGGCTCTAGAGGTGCCTGCGTGTTTCAGTCTGTTAAGCGTCTTGGTTTCATCTCTGGTCATGCCCTCACGGTTCACGGGATTGAGTCCCACGTGGGGGTCTGTGCTGACAGTTCGGAGCCTGCTTGGGATTCTCTCTCCTTCTCTCTCTGTCCCTCCCCCGCTCACTCTCTCTCTCAAAAGAAATAAACTCATATAAAAAAAGTGGCTCTAAATTAATAAACTTAGAAAAAGTATAGTGACATACATACATCATTATATATGTCATATGCATATCATATATAAAGGTCATAAAGATCGTAAATCCTGAAAAGAGGAAGACGTGATATAAACAACAAGCAAACAGCACACAGGACCAGCCTGCCGGAAACTTCCTTACCTCCTCTTGCAAAGCCAATCATGATATCGGCAGTTCCCAGTATAACTCTCCTGAAGGACAGTGGGATCTCTTTGCTCCACATATTCAAGGCCTTTGCCACTAATTGATTCACTGTGACACGTGGTAAGTCTCGGGTATATGATACGATCCTGGTAGCAAACAAGAAAACAAGGTTTGACCTTCTAGGAAGAGGGCTTTAGTTGTCTCTGCCCTAATGAGACGAAGGAAAACTAACCTGTAGGTGACCACTTTGGAAGTCCACTTTGGCCTGTGTTTAGATGGCAAGTACTCCCCAATATCCGGAAGTCCACATCTGGGCTTCCGCATTATTATTATCACGCGGGAGTCCAGCACTCCGGTTTCCGGCAGGCGAAAGAACTTCTGCATCTCCTTGAGTTGGGCTCCAAAGCGATTGGGAGCCCTCGATTTTGAGTCAGATGGGTAGAATCTCTTGAGATACTCCTGTTGGAAAAAAGAAATTGTTTTATCATCATATTCACTGTCTTCTCCTTATGTCTCTGAGGTCTATACATCTTTGCCTCCGACTCCTGTGGACTCAGACAGTGGTTTGAAGACAGAATCGTTACATAGCCATGAAGTAAAATAAGTGTGCATGAATGAGATGAAAATTCAATATTGATCATGATGCGCAGTCCTTCCATTTCATGAACAAAAGAGTCCCTCCATTTCCCCTTTTACCCCATTAACTGTTTTGAGGAGAAACACACTGTACACTTTATAAAACACAGACTCGCGTGTACTAGCCCATTGGGAAGAGCACCCGGTGTGTCCCCACGCGGCGCGGCAGAGGTGCTGTGGGGAGGTTCGAGGTCAGCAGCCATACCTGAGACTCCCTAGAGGTCTGGCCCTAGCTGAGGTTAAAGGGCCTTAAAGTTTTAGTCCCGGAAAAGGATATTGTGAAACTATTGTGTTTCATGTGCATATTCTCCAGGGGAAGACAGCAAAGCTCGTAGCAGCTGGGCGATGTGTCCTGGGTCACCTATTAGATCAGTCCCAGAACCGGCCCTGCCTCCTCACTGCCAGTCCTGGGCCCTTTCCATTGCTCAGTCTCCAGCAGACCCCACACCTCGAGGCTGCAGGACAGGGCAGGTCCCCCAGGTGTATTCCATGTGCAGCTGGGCCCTTGGCACTTTCTTAAAGGACCCAAGTGTCTACATATGAGCATGGTGGTCCAGCAGCCTGGGTAGGAAAAAGTAAAAAGTGAATGAAATTGGAGCAGTGGCTTCACAAGAGCTTGTACTGAGCACCTGTGACCGGCAGGGACAATGCCAAGGTCTTTATATACATTTAAACTCGAGCCACCATGGGAAGGAGGGGTGGCTTTGTCATGACAAGTCATGGCTCAGAGAAGAAAGTCAGCACAGGGTCACCCCATAAGGAACCATAGGAGGTACATTTCTTTCTTTCTTCCTCCTCCCTCCCTCCCTCCCTCTCTTTCTTTCTTTCTTTCCTTTCTTTCTTTCTAAGTTTATTTATTTATTTTAGTGGGGGGAGAGAGAGAGTGAGCAGGGGAGGGGCTGGGGGTGCAGATGATCTGAAGGGGGTTCCGTGCTGACAGCTGAGAGCCTGATGTGGGACTTGAACCCATGATCCTTGAGATCATGACCTGAACTGAAGTCGGACACTTAACTGACTGAGGCCTCCAGGTGCTTTTATCCCGTCCTGAACTACAGGCTTTACAAGGACACTCTTCTGGAAGAAATCTTTTTGGATCCCTGATATGAATTTTTCTGGTTTCTCTGGTTTATTGGTGTACTAAGTACAGGGACTCAATATTCTTGCAAATGTACTGCTACAAGAGAACCCATTAGTTGAATCTTGTGAAGTTGCTGTTTTGCAGGTTAAAAAAACAGTCAAATGTCAGGAATTTCACATGGTTCAGTGTAACGTGCTACGGGGAGTTTCCCAAAGTCAAAGTTAATGTGAAATACAAGTAGCTTAAGGCTTAAATTTATGAACAATAGTCAGGAGGAAACAACTCATTATTGTACCAAATGTTAACTATTTATACTTATTAGTTTGCTTGTTAAGTAGTATATTGGAAAGACCATGGTTTTTGAACCAGAAAGACTTGTCTTTGACTCCCGCGGCTAGCATTACCAAGTACATGAATGAACGTAACTTTCCTTCTGCTTCCTGGGATAGAAGAAGCTGTCCTACAGCTTCACTGACCTACAATATATGAGGCAGTTTATAATCAATGATTGTTGCGCGCATAATAGTTGGCATTGTTATCACTTGTTCACTAGAACAATTCCATGAGCTGTGAAACACAGCATTTCTGTCCCCGTTGGACAAAGTCACAAGTGCCTGGCCACCCACCGTCCCCACTGTCTTGTAAGGGGACAGCAGAAACTCCACCCTCGTTTTCTGGTTTCGAGCCGTCACCCGGAGTCCTTGTCTTAAGAGCGACACTCAGCTCTTTATGAAAAGAATCTCAAGCCACAATACATAATCACATCAGCAACTTCAACTCATCGAGGGGGAACACTGCGTCAGGCCCCACAGCACCCCTGGGTCGCTGGCACTACCGTCTCCAGCTTGCACCGGGAATACCGAAGCTCGCAGAAGAGCAGAACATTCCCGCGGTGTCTGCACAGTGAGGCGGGAGGGGCGGGAGCATGAACCCAGGTCGCGCAGGCTCTGAAGCCCACTCTCAACAGCTACTTGCTTAAAACCAATATTTTATATCATCAGAAAAACTATCCCAATTGAAAAACACGCTTCCTCGCGCCGCTGATGAGACCTGGGAGCCGCCAGGGAGCAGGCAGGGACCTACCTGAGCCTGTTTCCACTGTGGCTCACTGAGGCCGCCCGCCTCCCAGGGGAGCAGCAGAGCCAGGCCACCGGGCAGCAGACACAGGACACACAGCACCGCCAGCCGCATGCTCGCCCCGCCTTCTCTGCCGGCCGCTGCACACATTTATAGAGCTTCTCAGCCCCGCGTGTGGGAACCAGTGACTCATGCGAGTGTTTTCTTTTCAATGTCTACAGAACTTTGGAAGCATGTGTTATTTTTCGTTAATGGCAACAAGGAAGTTTTATGTCCTTATTGGCAGGAAGCACACAAGGTATTTGCCTTTCAGAGGATCCCCCCCGCCAACTTTGCTGTTTAAATTTAACCCATGAGAAAACACATTTTATTTGCCAAAATGAAAATGCTACAAGAAAAGACTTGTCTTTTCAATTTAAAATACTGGGGAGCTTCATTCAGGACTTACTGTAGTATGATGCATCTTAAAGGAATTTTTTAAAAATTTGAAATGCATGGAAAAAGTACCAAAAAACATACGAATCATCAAATAATTATTAAGCAAACATTCTGTAACAATCACCAAAGTCAAGAGTTGAGTCCAACTTCTTTGTTTTTATCAAAGATGAAACTGAAGCCAAAATGACAGATGAATTTATGTCCGGGTCACAGGGTTACTTGCCCTGACGGCCACCCCATTGCTGTTTCTGTCTCACCACACCGCCTGCTCATTTTGTCATCATATTTGAAATTCCTTGGGAGAGTCCCATGGCTTTTGACGGGAATACATCATGGAAGACCCCTCAGATATGCTGGAGCTGGAAATGTAATTCTTCAAACATCTCCTAAATCATCTGGAGGTTGGGCGCAGTGAGTCAGCAAAAGTAAACTTTCCAGATGAATAAATTAAATTTGCAGGGCGCCTGGGTGGCTCAGTTGGTTAAGGGTCCGACTTTTGATCTCAGCTGAGGTCTTGATCTCAGGGTCCTGAGTTCCTGCCCGGCACTGGGTTCTGAGCTGGGCATGAAGCCTACTTAAGAAAATAAATTAAATATGCTCTCTTCACGTAGATGCGTTAATTCTGTGTCGTCACAGTTCAGTTATACTTGAGGACATGGTTGTCTTTATTCAGCGTGTGGCATGTAACAGGTGCATAATACATGTTTATAAAAAAATATTTGCATATGGATTTGGGTCAGCTAGTATGGGTTATATGAGGTTTTCTTGAGCTTTGCTTTGAATTAAAGGTCAAAACATTCCCTATATATTTTCTATTTCTAGTAATTCAAAAAGCATTAGATGTTCCAAATATTTTTTTAAATGTTTTTAAATGTTTTTTAATTTTTTTTTTTTACAAATAGTTTATTGTCAAATTAGTTTCCACATAACACTCAGTGCTCATCCCCATAAGTGTCCTCCTCTATGCCCATCCCCCCCCCCACATCCATCAGTCCTCAGTTTTTGTCAAATATTTTAAACAAATTTTAATGGCTCCCTTGAATACTCATTTGTGGGTTGCAAGAAAGATGGCTTTTCTTCTCTTGTTTCCCTAAATTGTAATTAGCGAAAAACTGAACTCTTGAAATAGTGGAACAAACGCTCTCAGCAGGCAATACTACCAGCCAGAGGAAACAGCAAATCCTTCCCATGTATACTGAGGAACCATCCGTGCATTTGAGCTGGATTTGGGAGAGTGACCAGGGGCTCCCTGGGTAGGCCTTATGGGAAGAGCACATCGAAGGAAGAAGACAGGATGAAGAGCGAGCCGTCGGTGCTGCTGGGAGCTGAGTGGCTGGGAAAGGAGGCTGGGGTCTAGTTGTGAAGAGCCAGTCTTGCATGCTAGGGGCTTTTGACTTTTCCCTAAATGGTGTCAAGGAACATTTCAAAGGAAGAAAGTGGCATTATCAGATTTGTGATGTTGTGAGCAAATGTTGGTGGCTGTTCTGAAGATGGGGTGACTCTCTGTAGAGGGATATTAGAGAGGCAGAAAGGTCAAGAAAAAGTTACTGAATAATCCAGGTGAGAGAGGAAAGAAGAGGCCCTGAACCAAGACCGACTGCTGGGATGAGAAAGAGGAAGGCAATTCCGACCCCAATGGAAGGTGGGGCTGAGGAAGACAAAGCCAAGCTAAAGCCTAGTTGCTGATTGTGGCAGGAGTGAGGAAGAGGGAATTAAAGATTGATGGACTTAGTGGACAGAAGTGCTGTTATCACAGAGACAGGGCTTTTGGGAGAAGGAACAAGAAGTAAATTTTTCAAGGGAGGCAGGGACTTGGTTGTGGTTAAGCAATGACATCCATTTTGGATATTGAGGTTGGGTATTTTCAGCTGGAACATCAGATCTGGAGCTCATGAGGGTGATCTGGTCTGCAGACATAGGTTGTGAGTGACTTATTTCAAAAGAAAAATCATGCTTTTTTTTATTGTAGTTGAAATTTGCATAATGTAGAATTTGCCATCTTCACCATTTTAAGGGTGCAGCTAACTGCACTAAGTGCATTCACAGGACTTTACAATCTTCACCAATATCTACTTCCAGAACCTCTTCATCATCCCAAGCAGAAACTCTATACCCATCATAATGTAAGTTTCTCCTTCCCCATCTTCCTAGCCCCTTGTGTCCTCTGAATATGACTATTCTAGGCAACTTGTACGAGTGTGTTCATATCATGGCAGTCCTGATTTTTCAATTTATTTTTATTTTAGAGAGAGAAAGCATGAGCAAGAGAGACAGGAACGGAGAGAATGGGAGAAAGCTCAGCATGGAGCCCGATGTGGGGCTCAATCCCATGACCCTGGGATCATGACCTGAGCGGAAATCAAGAGTGATGGTCAACTCACTGAGTCATTGTTGTCCACTTGCATTTGCATTTTTGCCTTCAGCACAATGTCTTCTAGGTTCATCCATGTTGTAGCAGGTATCAGAACTTCCTTCCTTTTTATGGCTGAATAATATCCCATCCTCTGAAAGGATCACATTTTATTTATCATTTTATCTGTCAACATCTTGAGTTGCTTCCTGCTTGGCTGTTGTAAACAACTGTGCAATGATCATCGGTGCACACATATCTGTCCGAGTCCCTGTTTACAATCAGTTCGGGCAGGTACCCATGAGAGGCATTGCAGAGTCAACACCAATGTTTGTCTCTTTTCTTTTTTTTTTTTTTTTAAATGTTTTATTTATTTCTAGGAGAGAGAGAGGGAGACAGCGTGAGCAGGGGAGGGTCAGAGAGAGAGAGGGAGTCACAGACTGAAACAGTCTCCAGGCTCTGAGCTGGCAGTCAGCACAGAGCCCGATGCGGGGCCCGAACCCACAAACCGCGAGATCATGACCTAAGCGAAAGTCAGACGCTTAACCGACTAAGCCACCCAGGTGCCCCTGTTTGTCTCTTTTCTACAGAGATGGCACCATTTTACATTTTTGCCAGCCATGGAGGAGATTCCAAGCTCTCCACATCCTCCCCGACATTGTTATTTTCTGGGTTTAGAGACTTTTCTTTTTTATAACCATGAAGTGGTATCTCATTATGGTTTTGATTTGTATTTCTAAGGACTGATGAATGACATTGAGCATCTTTTTACAGGGTGTGGTCTATTTGTACGTCTTCTTTAGAGGAATATCTATTCAAGCTTTTTGACCACATCTTTAATTGGGTTGTTTGTCTTTGTTGTTGAGGTGTAGGAGTTCTTTTAATATCCATATTGTGGATGTTAAGCCCTTATGTGATGTATGATTTGCAAATATCCCCCCGTAGGTTGTCTTTTCACATTCTTGAAATGCTCTTTGATGTTGTTGGGTCCAAAAATCCACCACCACCTCCAAAGTCATGAAGATTTCTGCCTATATTTTCTTTTAAGAGTTCTATGGCTTTAGCTCAAATATGTAGGTTATTGATCCACATGCTTTATAATTTTTTCTTTTAAGTTTTTATTTTAATCTCCAGTTAGTTAACATGCATATAACTAACATATTTGCTTCTGGTGTACAATACAATGATTCAGCACTTGCACACATCACCCAGTGCTCCTCATAGCAAGTTCCCTCCTAAATCCCCATCACCTATTTCACCCATCTCCCCACCCTCCTCCACTCTGGTGACCATCAGTGTGTTCTCTGTAATTAAGAGTCTTTTCAAGGGGCACCTGGATGGCTCAGTTCATTAGGTGTTGGACTCCCGATCTTGGCTCTGGTCTTGATTTCAGATTTGTGAGTTCAAGCCCCATGTTGGGTTCCATGAAGGGTGTGGAGCCTACTTTAAAAATGTCTGTTTCTTGGTTTGTCTCTTTCTCCCCCCCCCCATGTTCATCTGTTTTATTTCTTAAATTCTGCATATGAGTGAAATCCTATGGTATTTGTTTTTCTCTGACTGACTCACTTCACTTTCTTTGTAGCTTATCTAGATTCATCTAAGTTGTTGCAAATGACACAATTTTATTCTTTTGATGGCTGAGTAATACTCCAGTGTGTGTGTGTGTGTGTGTGTGTGTGTGTGTGTGTGTATACCACATTTTCTTTATCCATTCATCTGTTGATGGACACTTGGGCTGCTTCCAGATCTTGGATTTTGGATCCAGATTTATCTTGGGTAAATATAGGATGTACCCCTTTGAATCAAGTACTTTTGAATGCTTTGGGTAAACACCTAGTAGTGCAATTGCTGGGTTATAGGGTAGTTCTATTTTTTTTAATTTTAATGTTTTTATTTATTTCTGAAAGAGAGAGAGACAGCATGAGCAGGGGAGGGTCAGAGACAGAGGGATACGCAGAATCCAAAGAGGCTCCAGGCTCTGAGCTAGCTGTCAGCACAGAGACCGATGCAGGGCTCATACCCATGAACTGTGAGATCATGACCTGAGCTAACGTCGGATGCTTAACTGACTGAGCCACCCAGGCACCCCAGGGTAGTTCTATTTTTAACTTCTTGAGCAACATCCATACTGTTCTCCAGAGTGGCTGCACCAGTTTTCATTCCCACCAGTAGCTCAAGAAGGTTCCTCTCTCTTTGCATTCTCACCAACATCCATTGTTAACTGAGTTGTTGATTTTAGCCATCTGACTGCTGTGCACGTGCTTTATTTTTGACAGCTTTCCTTTTCACACATCTGCTTTCTCCCTGCGGCAGTGTGATTTTCTGC